CTGCCTCAGTGCCTGTGAACCTTATTAAACCACTTAAATTCACCTCTGCCAACTCGTCTCTGCATTCGGGTCCTCCAAACCAACATCTCTTTCTGACATTTAAGGCAAAAATATGTTTACAAGTTTGCACAAGTTTGCTGTTGCACCAAAATTGTGCACTATTTATTCATTGTCTTATATGCATTTTTACAGTTTGTAGTTAAGCAGGACAAGCTTACGTTTAAAATACTTATTTTATTCAGCAAACTATATTATATATTATTTATTTAGTATCAAATTGCTGGATAATAATGTGTTTTACATGTGTTCATGCGACTTACAAATATGCATCTAATTCAATGCAGATTTGAGAAAAATAATAAAAACAATAATTTCAAACACAAAGGGGGGCTAAAAAAATCCCCACGCCAGGAGGGGTGAAGGCGATCGAGTCAGCTGGCTTTGACTTTTTTCAGGGAGTTGGCAACCCCATCCACTGAGGTAAATCGAAATAGCTCCAACTCATTTATACTGATTGAATGGCATTGGTTAAAATCACGTTTTTACTCTTGGAATGGATTCTTAAAGAATGGCTTAGTCTCCATTTAAACCCAGGTTTAAAGCCTTGCAGGGCAGCCTAAAGCCCACTGCTCTCATTAAGACAGGAAAAAGAAAGGAAAAAAAATAACAAACGGTCAGTTCAGGTGTTTTATAAAATACGTGAATCAGGAAATTGTCTATATAACAAAATGAGAAATTGCTCTCTACTTCAAAAAACTGTTTAGCTTTTAAAATTGAATTTTTTAAATTTTTTTAATTTAAAAAGCCAATGTATAACATGGATGCATAAACACATAATTTTATTTCAGTGTTAAGTTATGTTTAAAGTAACAGATTAAAATTAAAAATGTCTCCGGAACTTTACTGGTTGTTGATTTTCTTTATTCAGGAGGAACAATAAAAAACGCTAAAAATATATCAGAATACTGTATTAATGTTGGTATTTAGTTCACAGCCTTACTAATATCACTACCATTGGTATTAATGTTATTCTTTGACGCTTAGTTATTGTGAAAGAAAAGTTCATACAGTATCTAATGCATAAACTATTTGCGACTGTTTTAGTTTTTCAATTTTGCTGCCTGCGGATGGTCTACTTATCGCGTCTGATGCAGTAATTCTTTGCAGGCTAAGGAAAGGACTAAGTAAACACTATTAGGATGAATGCTTACTGTATATCTTTTTTTAAAGTTTAAGATAAATACATTTTTTTTGTGGCTTTTAAGTCGTGCCACTGCAAAAATAATCCAGAAATAAGTAAAAAATTCTTAAATTAAGTATATTTACCCTTAATTTGAGCAGGTAAAAAAGATGATCTGCCAATGGAATGAGTATTTTTACTCTTAAAATAAGACAATTAGATAATATGCACTTGAAATAAGACAATGACATTGTTTTTTTCTTATTTTAAAAGGAAATCTTCTTGTTCCATTGGCAAAGTGTCTCACTTACCTCCTCAATTCAAGAAAAAATGCACTTATTTTAAGAAAAAACTAACTTATTGAGATTTCTATTTTTTGCAGAGTGTTTGGTATGCAGGTCTAACACACTGGGAAAAAATTAAATCTAGATGAGTCATTTTTTCTTGAAATAAGTGCATTTTTAAGGTAAAGGAGACATTTTGCCAATGGAACAAGACAACTTTCACTTAAAATGAGAAAACACAACTGCATTGTCTTATTTCAAGTGCATATAATCTAATTATCTTATTTTAAGAGTATAAATACTAATTCCATTGGCATTCTATCTGATTTACCTACTCAAATTAAGGGAAAATACACTTAATTTAGGAAATTTTAACTTATTTCTAGATTGTTTTTCCAGTGCACTTTCAGTATGTTTTTTTATGTGAGCAGAGTATCTACACTGGAAAAAATCGAAATCTAGATAAGTAATTTTTTCTTTAAATAAGTGCATTTGTTCTTGGATTGAGGAGGTAAAAGAGACATTTTGCCAATGGAACAAGACAATTTACACTTAAAATAAGAAAACACAATTGCATTGTCTTATTTTAAGTGCATATTATCTAATTATCTTATTTTAAGAGTAAAAATACTCATTCTATTGCCAAACTATCTTATTTACCTTCTTAGAATAAGGATAAATACACTTAATTTAAGAAATTTTTACTTATTTCTAGATCGTTTTTGCAGTGTATATTAACATGGTTGCTGTGTCCCCTGTTAATGACAAACTGCAAACTTGGCTTTCTTCTCACCATGCCTTCGTAGTTTTTTTTTTAGTTTTTCCTTATTCTACATTTTCAGATGTCGGTTTGTTGTTGTTGAGCTCTGTAACATGGTCAAAGTTTGGGATTTTGTTTTATAACCAAATGATTTAAAATTATTTTAAGATAAAGATCTAGATGATAAAACTAGTATTTGCACCATTTAGAAAAAAAAAAGGAGACACACTGCAAAAAAATGAAATCTAAATAAATCAAAGTGCATTTTTCTTGAACTAAGGATTTAAGTGAAACACTTTGCCAATAGAACAAGACAATTTACACTTAAAATAAGAAAAAACAATTGCATTGTCTTATTTCAAGTGCATAATATCTAGATACCTTATTTTAAGAGTAAAAATACTCATTCCATTGGCAAATCATCTTATTTACCTGCTCAAATTAAGAGTAAATACCCTTAATTTAAGACATTTCTACTCATTTTGAGATCATTTTTGCAGTGCATGTGGTTGAATTGATGGGGTATGATTTATGACCTCACATTCTGCAAACATCCAGTTTAACTTTGTTACTGTTGGGCCATTTATGACCTTTAATAGTCACACATTATTTCTTACTGATGACATGAAAGGTTCAAGCTCTCATCTGACCGGAAACATGAGCCGAGGGTATAAAAACTGGTACATGTCATTGTTCTCTATCTCTTTCTGTACCCAAAGCTGGTTTCTAAGCATCAGAAGGAGCCCAGCAATAGCAACTATTTTCTGCCTTTATTAGATTAAAGTGTCAAAATCTATTTCTTGGTTTGGTTATTTAATATGCGCCTCCTTATTAAAAAAAAGACTCACTTAACATACCTAAAACATAAAGTTTCATCTTTAAGACCTATTTTATACTAAAAAAACTAAACTACACCATGTTGCATTAATCCAGCTTTCAATTCAGTTAACAGAAACTGCATAATGAATATTAGGTTATGAAATTAAATGTAAAATTAGATTAGGGGTATTTTTTACTCTTGCAAGAATAACTTTCCAAGAGTTTTGTTTCTTGTTAAATTGGCTCAGATGGTTTTGCTGAGTGACCTGATTTAAATCTAAATAGTCTAAACCAGGGGTCTTCAACGTTTTCCAGGCCAAGGACCCCAAACTGATGGTGAGATGGAGCGGGGACCCCCTAAATATATATAGTATGAAATTGTGTTGTATCAAACTGGTTCTATAGTCACTCTATTACAGATGGAGTAATGTAAC